CGTGAAAGTATAGATATATTTATCTTATCGACTCGACATAACCTAACTTTATGTACATGCACCTAACCTAACCTTTTCTCACCATATTTCTTATTTTTCTTTCCTTCTTTTTTCCCCAAGAATTCTTTACACAACTCCATACGCCAATACACATATCCATATACATGTCTATACGTAGGCAAGAATATACACATACTATATCTTCTCCCTGCCCAAATTCAATTGCGCAACAATTTTTGTTTGACCGTAATCGTCACGGAAACCGTTTAGTATCCCGTCCCTAATTACTTTGCGAGCGTTTGTTAGTTTCTTTAAATGGTTTATGCGAACACGCTGGATCGTGCGTGCAACTATTGAATGAATTTGTATCTCTCGTTAGCTATCTACCGCTAACGCGAACCAACCGAACCGAAAGAAATTGCCTTCTTTTTCTGCACGTGAGCGCGCGCGTTCACGTGCAGAAAGTAAGACTAAAATTTATAGTCAAGGAAAGCAAATATCAGATTTCACCGATACCATTCGTTCAATTACAAACATCTATACTTACATCATGCAGCATGCCGCTATTCACATGTTTAAATTATCGTTTTTCCTTAAGGCGATTCAATCATCTCAAGCAACAGCCCGCTCCTCTCTCTCTCTCTCTCTCTCACCTCTCTCGATTCGCCGAAATTCGCCAAATTTCAAATCAATTTGTCACTTGCTACACATCGATCCTTAGATGGACGCCGTCGCGCATTCATCGATGGTCGAGAGCTTCGAATTTTCGACACGCAAAGGAACATCGATTCAAGAGGAGAGAGAGACAAGAACATTCCTCATAGGTCAACGAGCATAGAACGATTTTAGATACGGCCTTTGGGTTGTACCTCGTTCGTGCCTCGCGCGTCGCCGCATGTCTCTTCGCAACTATTTCGTCCAAATTGTAATCCTCTTCTAACGTACTTATGTACACACGCACGCAGGCACGCTCGCACGCACGCACGCACGCACGCACGCACGCACAATTGTCAATAAATTCGAAATGCATTTTTACACCTTCTTTTTCCGTTCTTTCGGCATTCAACATACCTATCCTCCTCTTCTTCGACCTCTTCTAACAATATATCGCACGACTTTAAGCAGCAAAGAAAAATTCAAGATCAATCAAATATCTACATATACGTTACAGTACAATCCGAGTAGAGTAAACAACAACGAATCTCTCCTCAGATATTCCTTGATTTTATCGACGCGCGACATAGAAAGATTTCTCCGAGCGGAGATCAATGAGACTTTATATACAACACTTCACACGATGTCGTGTATTCCACCCACGACGCGATAGCCCCTATGCTCTCTCGCGACGTTTCGATACGATAACCTCAAACGGAACGTAAATAACTACTGAAAGGAAAGAAGGGCTAGCTAAAAATTACGGTGATGCTGCCGAATGATAGTGTTATGAATGAGTTCGTTGCTGGAGCAATTACATGTGAAAATCTGGATCGTACTCTGCCGTTACCATTGGAAAAAAAAAAAAAAACTACGTCAAAGCTTACCTACATGAAAGCTACGTTCAAGTGATCGATTGAAATCCAAGGTTTTTCATGAAAAAAAGCATCGTCGCACCTTTGCCACCGATCAACATCATTTCTCTCTCGATAATTAGCTTTTAAATGAGATTAAGTGAAATGCGATATTTTCCTGTAGATTTGTTTGCCCGGTATCGCCGGTGCTGCTCGGTTATAGGCATATCAAAAAGTCTCGGAAGTTATCGAAAGCAACCGAGAAGCGACGAGTAGTACGAATGGTTGTACTACTATCGGTTATGTAACAAGGCAAAGATACTATGCCACACAAAACGACGCTTCACCATCGCTTTACACGACATATGTACGCACACACGCGCGCGCGTTTTACTTTATCCTCCATGCACTCTTTTCGTTATTTTTCTTCTTGCTATTACGCTTGTGCACGCAGCGGCCAACACACCTACCATCAACAATGACCTACCATCTTTTCTCCTTTGCTAATCTCGTAATACGCCCAATGTTCACATACCAGAGAATGATTGAAACAACGCCGCGATTATTCCGAATAGCGTAAATTTCATTATTAGATAGAAGAATGCTATCGCTAACCTTTAAGCTTTGCCAACCTCCCTCCAAGTATCTTTAGTTTCTTCTTTTATTTCAAATTAACCATTTCAATCCATCTCTTCTCCGTAATCGTGTCCAGCTTCTTTCATTACCCGTTATTTATTCGTTAGACACTCTTAATAACAACGTTCCACTACTGCTGCCAATCTTTCTACCGTCATATTTCAAAACTATTATACCTTCTTTCCAATTATCTACCTACTTCAAATACACAGTCAGTCAGAGCTTATTTGAAATTAGGAGAAAAATTGACAAGGTGTCAATTATCTATGTATTTATAATATACATATACACGTTAGAATCCAGACTAACTAACGGAAAGAAATACAGCACAATAATTATTGCTTCCATAGGAATCGGTATTACTTCGGTTACCCATACTATTACTAGTACATAGTACCATTATTACTATTATTAGACGCGTTACACAATACTCTCGCGTCTTCTCAAACGAGTTTCGCTGGCCAATGACCAAAGCTAGATAACGTCGTGTATCGCGACCCATTTACCGAGTTGCTAATCTCGAACTCTAATCCGAACTTGATTTTCCCTTGGTTCTACCACTTCGAAATTTTCACTATTCCTCTAGCATTAACATTCGGTTCATAAACACTGCCTTCGTAATCCATACCTACATACATATTTATGCAGGTACCTAATTACTTACGTTACATTACGTTACGTTACGTAACTTTACATTACCGCGCGCCCGCGCGCACGTGCTTGCAGGCACAGGCACCACACGCGCGTGCGTGCGTGCGCACAATGTGCTACGTTTTTCAACAAATAAACTCCAATGTAAATAACATTACAATCGATTCACAAAATTTTATCCCACACTTGCCACATAATCAACCTATTATTACAAAGAAATTATCCTTCTTTATTCTTTTCTTCCAAATTCCTACTCTCTTCTATAATATCCTTCAGAGTATTCATAATGCACTACATTGCTATTTTAATATTTACCAATAAGCACAAGTTTCTCTCTACGCTCTCTTTCCATTCTTTTCTTCCACATTTTCGTTTCGCGTGTTACGCAACAGTAGACACATCGTGTCATAAAAATACTCCGTTCTTATCCATACTTATAACTGCTTTATACTTTTGCTGCCTAAGGAAAACATCGTTTCAATTCTTAAAAGTACTTCGTTACAAATTTTCTTCTTGTCAAATGCCAGTTAGGTATATGCATACGTAATATGTAGGTACAACCATGTGTGTGCATGCACGTGAAAACTTGAACATGCTCTTTACAGCGGCTTTCAAATCCCTCGGTTCTTCTTACAATCTTTACTGTAGCAAAACAGAGGAAAGCAATCCAGAATTTCTATTCAGAATTCTTCGAAAATAAAATATAGATTAAAGTAATATCAAATGAAAATTCAAAACTGAAATTATTCCTTCTTATACCAAGTCCACTTCCTTGACAATCACGTGAACACGTCTAAGTACGTGTATATATACGCTGTGTGCGCATCCCCCAGTCCCCGTATAATTTCTAGTTCGTAATACAAATGAAAATTTCCCAATTCAATTTCCTTTTTTCCCAATTACCATTTGATGAGAAAGTTATTTTAGAGAAAAGCCTGTTCATCGGCAGCTTGACGAATAGAGAGTACGCGTGAACATTTTTTCCCAATAATAGGTGCAAACCGTATTGAACAAGAAACAAAGGCATACAGCAATCAGTGGTCGTGATAAATAAGCGCGCGTAAACATATTCGTATACATACGATAAGTGCGCGTGCACGCGAAACGAACGAGTAGTCAGACAGACAGACAGCATACAGCATACAAACCAACCGACCGATCGACCGTCAGACAGACAGACGAGCCAGGCAGGCAAGCATGGAAGGCACGACGGAAAAAGCAGAATGACAGTTGGTAATTATAACGAAGAGCGGATTCCGTGGGGTAACACTGGTGAGCCCCGTGGAAGCAACCAAGTCCGCGCCGTGGCGCGCCACCACGTGCCTGACTAGCTAGCTGGTTCGCTGACTGCGTGCTAGGGCTCGGTAACCACACGCTGTAGCGTTCTAAATGATGGCGTCTCGTAATATAATTTTTAACGTACTACGAATAAGAAATTTCATTCGACACAAATCGATGAATTTCGTATTATGTAATCACTACCGGCTCCTTATTTTCTAAGCTTATAAGATTCGTCAATTGACTTACACTTACCGATACGATGGTCCATAGCGAAGAAATCAAGGTAGATGTTACGTGCACGCGGTGTAGTTAACGTCCTCGTGGACTTCAAATGATAATTCGTCGACACACTCGGTCAACTCTCTGTTAAACAGAAAAGAACGAAACTCTGTTAGGGAACACAAGCGCACTATTCGGTTGCGATTAAAAATCATGTCGCGTTTAAAATATAACCACACTAAAATATAGAATCAATCACGAAAAAGGAAACGGAAAAAAATCGACGAAATTTATCCAACAATTCACGTGGAGGCGCGTGCATTATCGCGATGGAAAAAATGTATGATCGTACGACACACTAGTTAACTCCATTTTTGCCGGTCATTCAGTTCGAATACACCAACGATGAATGACAAACAACACCAAAAAATACGCTTTTCCTCTCCATACCGTTCAACAGTTAACACGCCGCGTGTCTAGCGGTTTCTTTCCTTCTCACGTTTTCTTCTCCGGCTAACTGATTCGACGTTCGACAACTCACCGGCGTATCTCTGCGTAGTTTCTCTACGTTTCTTTCACTCACACCGTCCTTTTTTCACCCAATTACTTCTCGTTACGCTTAATTTCTTCTTCTCTATGACAGATAAACACTACGAATGCGGCGGGTTCTCGTAGCGTGTGCGCCAGCGTCAGTAAGATTGACAGTCGGCGCTGATGACAGACAGGTGCGCCCGCCTTCCGGCCTAACAAGTCGGCAACCTACCGTCCTGCTTACGTATCTTTCTCTGTTCGCTCGCATACCCACCGCCTGCCCGCTTGCCCGTCTGCCCGTCAAGTCCCTTCGCGTTACGTTACTCCGTTCATTCTCTCTTTTAACATTTTCCTGCCATCTAGTGACGCTATACCTGAAATACGTCCAAATACTCCCTGCCTAATTATGCCCATTTTTTCCCCCCATTATTTCAAACACAAAAACTACATCGTTTTAAAGTTATTTCAAATCGCTTTCAAATCATTCACTATACCGTAATCGAAAGTAAATTCATCGGTGGTAAATGTAATATGCAAATTTATTTCCTTTACAAAACCGTTTAATCAACACAACATAAGGCTAATCGTCAGCCCAAACAACAACATTAATGGGGTAGAATGCTAAAAAGATATGGGAATAAAGTAGAAAATGAGAAACGAACGATTCATTTTTTTATTTTACTTTCATTTTTATATTATTCTATATCGTGTACCATTATTCACTTTTCGCATATTTATGCATTTTAACATAGACCACATATTTCACACACCTAATACATGTATACAATATATATGTGTATATCGTATGTTACTTTTATAGGGCAAATGTATTTCGTCTAATCACACATATGGGAAGAACATCAAATATGGTATCGGCTTCTTGTTACGCTCTCTTTCTCCACTCTCTATCTGACGTTCGTATTCACCATTCATTATTTCTGATCTATGCATTCGCTTTGGTGCAGATAACCATTCCTGCAAATCGTCAATATACGCTTTGCATTCATCTTGTGCTTTGGTATATCCATATGCCTGAATGCATCGAGCTAAGTCAATCTCAAAATTTTTGCATTCTTCGTTAGCTTGCGTATGAGGACGACCAAATCTGATATATTTAGTAATGATAGAACCCACTAGAGGGTCTCTGCTACGGGACATTCTAAAAAATACCAAAAACAAGTTAATACAGTATTATAAACGTTATTATAAAATATTACAACTAACTTTTTTCTTATAATATCATTATATATAGAGCGAAAGCGAATAAACAGTAATTCTTAAATAAGTATGATACTACATATACTTTTTTGTTAAATATATATGTAATACATTTGAATAAGCCAGTTGTTACACGCACTCTACATTAACTTAACCTTTCTACGTAACAGTTTTTTTATACGACACTTTTTATTACATTCTGAACTGAATGTCATAGATAAGACATGCTACACAATAACTTACGCATACCTAATGCGTATGCACACAAAAGACTGATTATATTTAGAAAGATCGTAGAATTTCCAAGTAAGCGAAATAATATTTCCCTAACGGTATCGCTGCGTAACCAAGCAGTATCGACCGACTACTGTGGCGGCGTCTACCGCGACCCGCTAAAGCAAAAAGCGTGTTCGTTTCCGGGATATCGACGAACGTCGGAAGTGATAGGTGTGCGCCGTAGGGAACTCCAGCGCCACCTTTTCTTAGCGTCTGTTGCAGGAGTAGTAGCGGCCGTAGGACAGTCAGTCGAGCGGAAGCAGTCGAAGGGTGAAGAGTGTTTGTGACGCAGGAGATAGAAGATTTTGTAATATATATAAAATTCGGTTGTTAATAATTGTAAAGAATATATTTTTGTCAAATATATTTTATTCGTCACGATCCCGTGTGGTAAAACAGGCGACCTAAGGAAAGACGTCCTAATCCTACTTCCCGCGTGGGCCGGTAATACAGAACACGTCTGTAGCAATCCGCTACATTGAAATTTACCTGTCCCTGTCTATTCCTATTGCATTCCTTGTCTGACACTCGCCACTATTGTTTTCCTTGTCTACCCCTGTTCATTTCCTTGTCCAACTCATTTCTGTATTGCTAAACGTGTACTTATTTATGTACTTAAATATCTATTAAGTGCTTCCTCGACGAGTTATCTATCCTTCCTAGTAAGCACGAAAAATAACAAATGCCAAGTGTTCTTGATTTCAAATCCTACCCCACTAATAACGCAGTGATATAATACCAGTCCTAATCGATACAGTAGGATGATGGTAACGGGGTATATGTACTACTCTTTAAGAAAATAAATGTATCGCATATCATTATGCATATGTACTTGTGATTGTTTTTAAAATATGTGCTTATTAATAATAAACACCGAGTAAACCTTATATCCTATATTGTATCAGTGTTATGCAATAATACTCATACAAGGTATCTCTGTAAGGAGCAACTCAAGTACTATTTCTCGTTATTATTCTTAGGCATCCTTTTTATTTAGATTTTATTTATAACTTACAATAAAAAATCTTTTATCTCTTTTCGTAAACATGCAATTTGTAGTTTTTTCTCGATCGCGGTAAGAATAAAATTAGGTAAGGTGGTGCACATTTGTTTTGAATCCAAGAAAATTAGCCTGCAACTATAACAAAGGTATTTTTCAATTTTTGATTGCTCCTTAGGGGAATCACAAGCAATACTATGACACTGACACGTTTTCCTCTTTAGTGTATTTCTAGTTTTAATTTGTGCACTGTCCGTCTGTTCACAAATGTTCAAAGAATCTAGAATTGCATCTGACGAAGGAACTGTAATTGTAGAAATGAATTTAGAAAACAATTTTGCCTGCACCATTGAAAGCTGTTCTTCCGATGGTAAACGTGATTCTAAATTTAATTCACAGAGTATACAAATGTTATTAACGTTAGTATCAGCATCGGTATTGGCATCGGTACTAGCATCGATACCCATATTAATGTTTACACTATTGAGTTCATCGATCTTTGTTGCCAATTTTTCACTAGTACGATATATCGTAGACACAGTGCCATAAAATTCCGAGTCTAATTGATGAACAAAACCTCTTGCGATATTTCGTATGGAAAGGGGAAAAGAAAAGTTGGATTTTTGAGAATTAAGAACGGGACAGAGTTTAAAAGAATCGAGGTATGCGATTACTTCATCTCCTGTAAAATCTCTGAGTGGTCTGAGTAGCATCACATCTGCGTGTCGTACATCGGAGAAAGCAACATTAAATGGCAATTGAGAACCTCTTCCAGTTGACACATCTCCAAGAACTTTTATAGCAAGATCAACAGATGTATCGGCAATGAAAACTTTATTGCAATTAAGCTTACGAGCTGCAGATACAAGTAGTTTACGTTTTAATTGCCTCAATAATTCATCCTTTGCTGTATCATTTTCCAAGGTATCAAAAGTTTCAGCCAGTACAGTATCCTCAATAGCGATGCTCATTTGTGGTACACTTACAGACTGTATATCTTCATATATAACATCGGTTAAACATTTTGTCAAAGGTACAACATACATTGTCGAACGTAGACGTTCAGCTTCTTTGGCTAACGCATTTCTAACGAATTCCCTTTCTTCTACAGTATGTCCTTTCACCATACCATCTGTATCAACAGAGACAACAGAGTGTGAAAAATGTAACAGATGTACGCTGTTCTTTTTTTACTTTTCAAGTGAAAGTGAAATAAAAGTGCAGAAATTTAATATTAATAGTAAAAAATGTAATCAACTTACCATCTATGTAAAGAACTTTACACTGTAATCGAAGTTTCTTGGAAATTGATTCGTATGCATCACTTGAAACAAGATGAACAAGTGCAGTTGAATTTGCTTTCCCCGAATGGGCAATAAGTATCGAGTCATTTGGTCGCACTAACTTGGATTTACCGAGAGTCGCCTTGAACTTATGCATCAACATAGTTAAAAAGCACATTCTGCAATACTGATTTTTATTTCTCAAAACAAGTTGAACTTGTTGATATCGACATTTTTTGCACAAGGGATTAGTATTAGATGTGCGTGTGGAGTCGGTAACACAAGATGCTACTTTTCTACAAAAGATTAAGCATAGTATAAATGGGAAATCATAGGGTAAGGGTAACCATAATTTAACGTTGACAACGTTCATAAAATTACACACATGGCGAAACACTTACGCATTTTTGCTTATTTCTTCTATTTGAAAAGTGTCGTCGTCGTATTCAGACGTGCCCAATGTACACATTTTGTTCTGGTTGCTTATCCGTAATCAGAAACGGATTCTAATTAAATACGCTGGATTTTGTCGAAGCAACTATCGTTCCTATTTCATTCGAAACAACAAACAGAACTAAAAAAAAACAACCGAGAGAATTGTAAGATAAGTAAGAGTACTACTTGTGTATTACTCGAATATATTTCTTGAAATTATATATTGGAAATGTTTCTTTTTTGTTTTTCGACTATGTCCAATGATTAATTATATCACTGTTTCGTTGGTACGCTTGAATTAATTTAACACGGTTGTTATTGCTACCGATTATCAATTGACGTTCATTACTGTCATTACTTTATTTGTAAATGTAATCTTTTTATAAATCATTTAACATTACGACTTTAGAGATATTGCACGTCCCCCGTTTTACTCTGGTATCGTATCAAAAACGAAAATTCGTCTGAGAGGTTATACACGCGAGGAGCGAGTGTATATAGGCGAGCAAAGGCGAGCAATTAGAGTTTCTAAGGATGATCGGTGTATTAATCATAGCGAATGCTGTTTTTCGGTAATCATTACCAAATGAACGCTTATTTTTCAATAGTTATTACCAATACTTATCGTAGATAGTAGTAGCTTGTTTTATTCATGATCGTTTATCGATACAGCAGGTCCTGTATATGTTCAGTTAGCAATTTACGGAATGTGTCCACCTACACACATCCATTGTGTTTTCGAACGACCGAAACACTTTTGTAAGTAGCTAGTAAATTTCGTTTCGTAAATTTCTTTTTAGGCATATAGTTATTATAGTTGATTATTATATCTATTTTAGAGGAGAACCACTTAAAAAGAAGAAGAAACTTGATCCTGCCATTGTTAGGGTCAGAGAAGAAAGGAAGAGAAGGAAATTGGAGAAAAGAATCCGGGTTTTGGAAAAACATTCTGGTTACATGAAGCCGATTTTCGAGATCAATACACTGCCTGAACTAATTGAGAAAGAGTGCGTAGTAATGATGAGACAATGAACGCCGCATGGGGTATATTTGCTACACAATGTATAGTTACTTACTTAATGTATCTACGCTGGAACAATTACCTTTTAGGAATAGAAGCTGTCATTTGACGGTACCGCTATCAGAAGAGGAAATCAAGAGAAGATACTTGTTAGAAAGGGAGTGGTCCAAGTATAAGCAGAACCAATGGTCGAAGAATCTACACGTTATAAAATCTATGACTGTTTCACAAGAAATAGCATTGAAAGAACTAAAGGCTGTCTCGAAACAGCTTTACAAGAAAGCAGTTGCAGTATGTATAGATATGCGCAGCGTGGTAGCCGTTGACGAAGAAAATGTGAAATAAAAAGCGTATTATTGTTGTTTCAGTTTGATAACTTATGTTTGCCATATAACGCAGTTGGACCAGCGCATACTCCACCAATAAACAATTACGATAGTCCTGACGGCGAATACACGGAAACCACTATTAAATACCCAGGCGAATAGCTGCATAAAAGTGTAAGAGAACGACTGGATGATCGTAAGAAATATCTCGTGTAAAGGGTGACAGGATGTAAGGAGCATAAAAGCAATACTTGTTTGAAACAATTGTACATATTTAATTGCTACTAATTTTCATCATTTTCATCATTGTTTCCATCTGATAATGGATTTCTTCTAAATGATACGTTTTATAATATACGTTTATACGTTGATACGTATATTATACGTTTTTATAATAGATATAATAAACAGGACATAAAGTGTTAATATTCGTGTATACGATAATATATCGTACAAGATATATACATAATACATTACAAGATCGAGTGACGAGGTTAAAAAAATCAAATGTTTATGGAGGCGGGAGTAATGTAATCGTAACAATGTAGGCAGCTAACGGGTCATAGATACGGATTCAAATGTTAATTCTGTTTTGCAAATGGGACAAGTTTCGCTGGTTTTTAGACACTGGCGTAAACAATCAGCATGAAAGAGATGACAACAGGGTGTTATTCTGGCCTTGATCATATTACAAAGACAAATAGCGCAAATATCGTCGAATCGTTGAATTTCTTCAGGCGTTGCCCTTCTATAACGATTCAACATTTCACGTTCAAGTTTCAACGCGGGGCCAGATTCTCGCAAGAGATCTCTTAACTTTAGATAAACGTTCAAGTAAATGGCGATTAGTAAAAATCTCCAGGATGCTACCGGTACTAGTATTAAGACAAATAAAGCTGAAACGCTAATGATAAACGACTTTAATATCACCGGGGCATAAAGTTCTTCGAGGTTTTCGAATACCTCCAAGCGAAGAAACTTCAACATCGAGGGGAACATCTGGACGAAAACTTTTTCCGTTGCCGAATAATATATCCACGTTGTCATCGTGTAAATTGTCGACGGTCTGCAACACAGTAGAGTAACATATTGCATATGTATACGTACATGTCTATGTATTATATATGTATTTACATATGTATATCGTTCAATTAAACGTTCCGTGTAATACGTATTTATGTTCTGCTGCCGTTTCGTTTGTCTTCTTTTTTCCTACCCGTTCTCTCTCTCTCTCTCTCTCTCTCTCTCTCTCTCTCTCCCTCTCTCTCTCTCTCTCTAACTATACGATCGGATTGTTACTCACTTGTAATGTTCGAGCCCTTGCTCCAAACCGAAAACAACAAGCGTAAATGTTAACGTTACGATAAAGGTGATGGCTTTAGTCCATTCGAGAACAATTTTCGTAGCAGACATAGCTAAATGTTTAATCTTGGACCTTTCCGTGAGAGTCACATACGGTGACCAATCTTCCTTCTCGATTAATTCCTTGATGTAGCTAATGCAATAAGTAATCACGTTGTAAAACATCAGCGTGTAAAGACAGGTCATTTTTGGTTCTGACAAGAAGATGCGATCAGCCAGCATTAGAAATACAATTTGATTCGTCATCATAGAGATATTCTTCATCTGAAGAAAAAGGGTCTCTGCTCGATCGATTGGCTGGTAAAGTCGTGTCAGGAGTGCGCTTAACTGTTGCCAAATCATCTCGTCAGTGGTAATACCTTAACACAAAAAGATAATCGTAACAGTCGAAAAGTGAATATATATATAATGTACCGCTTTACACACGCACTCTCTCTCTCTCTCCCCCTCTCCCTCTCCTTTTCCACTCTACCTGTGCCTCTGCCGCTGTCTCGGCCTCGGCCACGGCGGTCTCTGCTTAGGTCTCCTACCCCTTCTGTTTACGTAGGTATGATAAGTAAATAAGTAATACATATTTATGTATAGAATTCGGAAATGAACAAGTAGGAATACTACTACTACTAATAATAATAATAGTGTTGGAAATGGTGAAAGACGAAAGGATAAAGATGGTAGAGAGTATTTAGGTATAGATATACAGTATGCTGTTGACAGGTACATTAGACATCGATAACGTTCGAACGAGCATCCGATTTGAAGAATTTGTTATCGGAGCGTAACAAGTGGAAATAACCGCAAGCGTAAATGAATGACCGCTCCGCTATGTTTTTCGTAACGTTGAACCAGGAAAATTTACATATTAATAGATGTCCGTCAGGAGAATCCACGTAAACAGGAGTAGACGTGTCTAGAAGGACATTCAGGACGACATGAGGGATAATTAGGGCGAGAAGCAAGGATTTCGCATAGCAACCGAGATCATCTGTTAGGGAGAAACGATAATAGATATGTACATCGACTATTAGAT